GTGAAAGCTACGGGGCAGGACTTGGAGGTCGAGGTGAGAGTGTAACGATGCGCGGTAACAGATGCAGAACCTGGGGCTTCATTCCTACTCAACTTGAAAGGTGTTTCTTTGGGCCACCTTAAATTAACGAAGTATTGCAGCTCCTGCAATTCATGCTGTATGTGTGCAGATGTCCGATCGGTTCCGTCTTGAACAAGTGTTGTGGTGTGGTTGAGCGGAAAATCGTAGACACCAGCAAAAACCTGCAGGAAGTGTGAGCGAAAGTATATCTACCTCATTTTTGATCAAGACTAACCTCATACTTGTAGGCAGTAGAGTGAATAGGTGGATAAGGAAAGTCTAATTCCACCTGAAGATCCCCACTTGTAATGAGATCAGAGTCAATGTTAAAAGCAACAGCATCAGAATCGAAATCGCCTTGTGTTACGACCTTCACGTCCTTGCCATCAACCCTGAAAGTCGACGTAACAATCCCATTCCACAAATCAAGCTCTTGTTTGGAGTTGACGATCAACGACTTATCGAGTGTCTTGCCTTTGTACTTGAGCCCAATGCGACCCAGATTGACACGATTCGGGTTAGAGATCAGCCATTGAGTTGCTTGCTTGAGGTTCGGATCTGGGATATCGTAGTATACATCTCGTCCATATGTTTCGCGCACTACACCCTTGTAGTCGGATGGAAGCTCGCTTAATACATCAGAAGGTCGTTCTGTGTATTACTTGCAAGGGCGCTTACCCGTTCGTTGGCAATGAGTCATTATGCCACGCCCAGCTTGAGAGAGTATTGAAGGGGAGGAAAGTCTATTTTTCAACTATAAATCGACCGAATAGCTCCAGGGTTATGAGCAATTTACCTGCATGCCAGTGTTGTCGACATTGAATGCGAAGTTGCCATTTCCAACTTGCAATGGCGTTGTCTCATTGTCGATTAGGTTGGTCCGAACAATATTGAATTGCGATACAACGCGTTGTCTCGACGTTGTTAGAATTGCTGAGTCTAGCAGAAAGTCTTAAGCATACCTATCAATCTTGCCAAGGGCTAAACAGGGTAGCAACAGCGTACAACTGATTACGAGCGGGAAGCGCATCTTGACCAATCCTTACATCAACCACGCACTTCGGTCGATACTGAGATGCGTTAAGCTCGACATCGTCCTTCTATCGGGCCTTTGTACCTGATAATTTTCCATGCATCCATGATTCATGTTGTTAACCAGAATCATGTTAACCCATAAGGCCCCCATCTTCCGGGGTCATCCGGTGTAAAGTACACCGAGAAGGAATCCCCAAGGTCGTGATGGGTATTATTTGGTTAGTGCCGAAGTCACGCTCACGTACCCCGCGTCTGTACTGTTGATCAATTCTTCCGTTAGCGCGTGTCTCGAATCATAACGCACTTGGCACGGAGCAGGACGCCTTCATATTGCAGCTTTTGCACGAGGCTGCTGGATCTGGGTGATGATTGGCTGGGCTGCCGAGGTAAGAGGCTTTTATGAGGCAGGATCAGTGTATAGCAGACCGAGTGATAAACTTTAAACCATTTGTGAGAGATGCGTCGTGGAATGAGTAAGTTGTACTCCGTGCGGTGCACACGATTGAGACTAACCATATTATCGCTCGCCCAGAATAATGTTTGGGTGCCGAACAGTACAATACTACGAAGTACGTGCTACCAAATTTGATGCAATACGTCATGGGTCGTAAAGTGGTTGTTTCTGAAAACAACTGGAGCATTCTCGCTCTTATACCTAGAGCACATCGCTAGGGCTAGCGACAGCTGCTGAGCTCCAAAGCAATCTCTTCGTATCTACCACCATAACCTTGAACAGTTGGTGCCGCATCACCAGCCATGCTGCGGGACGGAGATAGTTTTCCAGAGCTTCATACCGATCGCTAGCAATCACTCCGAGCTGGCGCCTTAGAGATGAGGGCGCTTTCCATATGTCTACGGCGACCTCATGTAATTCTAATTGTCAGGGATGTACCTTTCCTTTAAGCGTTCCTCGAGTGACAAGAGATGGTACTAGAGATCCCGGAACTTCATGTGATCAACCGGGATTTCGCTCATGCCTCGAGTCACAAGCCGGTTAAAGAGGCTTGTTGCACCTCCTAAAACTGGAGGTACAGACACGGATACCATAGGTATCATGGCTGCCTTGAGCAAATTTAGGACTGCGCCTTGCGCTGCCCACCAGAGATGGATTTGCATACTACAAGTGCGACCGGACGATGTGGGTCCAGTCTCCCAAGTGCCAAAATTAGAGAGCAGAGTACAGTGTAGTCCGGTTGAAGGACAGTCGTGGGAGCATTGAAGCCGGGTGAGACGTGTATGCGCCTTCGGGTAATAAGGGATCCTTCCGCACAGGGAACCGGTCAGCGACAACACGTTACACAATCAACGTTTAGCTGAGATAACTTTCGGAGATGTATGCTGCGTCATCTCCGAGAAAGCATAGCAACTTACCATATTAATTTTGAGATAGTCTCGCAGATATGGAGTACATAGTAAACAAAGACTGGTCTGGTTTGCAAGATTTTCGACATTATTGGGTTAGTTGTTCGTCAATATTTCTTCAAAACGTGCCATGGCTTTAATTCCACCAGAGAATCATGCAGGTATCGCAACCATCGCGTCTGCGGTGGTTATAGGCACCATGGCCATCATTGCGGTGTTTTTGAGAGTCTGGGCACGCAGGCTAAAGGGTGCCCGTCTCGATGGTAGTGATTGGACCTGTATATCTGCATTGGTAGGTTTTCTTCCCTGTAGCATGTAACGACCACTAACGAGAGCTCAAAGATAATAGCTTTCGTTTTTTTGGGTACAGTGGTCTATAGTGAGTACCCCAAAGAGCTCGTGAGATAGCTATGGTTTATAGTTTGAAGATATTATACAAGGCTTAGGACTTCCAACGAATGAAGTGACAGTTCGACAGACTACGAAAATTAAAAAAGTAAGCTCCACCTCGAGACTTGGGCATTCTGACCGAGTTCGCTAGAGTATACTTATAGGTCTCTATGCCTGGACTACTAGCAATGCTCTCGTCCGCATCTCGACTATCCTTCTATACGTACGAGTCTTCCCGATCCGCAATTTTGTTCTTCTGTGCTGGGTCTTCCTAGCGCTGAATGTAACCTACGCACTTGCAACATACCTTGTGGCTCTATTGATATGTCGGCCAATTGCTAAAAACTGGAATCCGATTATAGATGGCCACTGCGGGAGCACAGAGCAGCTCTATATGTGGCATGGGATCCAAAATTTGCTTCATGATCTAATTCTTGTTGGCATGCCCATGCCATTGCTATGGAGGCTTCACCTACCAATGGGTAAAAGGATTTCATTGATTTTGATCTTTGCGATGGGGCTAGTGTAAGTTCACTGCAATCCAGAGAAAGTGCGCTAACAGCTGTGAAGCATTTGCGCCCTTACTCTTGCGCGGGTCATCGAAGTTAGCTTTGGAAGCTGGGCGCGAATAACTCAAGATTATGTCTCGGTTGCTCTCCTTCCGATGTTGGAGCCGCTCCTTGGAATAATAAATTGTAGCTTGCCAGTCCTCCAGCCTGTCGGCCAGAAGCTCTTCGCCTCAATCGGCAAAGCAGATGCTCTTGAATCAGACTATGGTCCAGATCACCCTGGCTTTGTCCAATCCATTGGCGCAAAACGAACACCGAAAGTCCTAGATCCGTATCATCTAGACACATACATCATGCGCACTCTCGACGATGGCTACGATACGGACCTTCATAGCCTCTCGGATCGCAACAGCACCTCCATCAGATTTTCCCTAGATTGTGCGCCGAGCCGAGCAGATTGATGACTGCAAATCAGGTTTTGTAATAGGTCTTTTGAGAATTTAGAAAATCTAGAGCATGGATATATTGTATCTCACTAAAGGCGTGGTAAACAATTGTCCCCCGGATCCGGCAGTGCATGTCTTCCAGTGCGGCTGAGATTCGGCGATCGAAACAAAGCCTGCTTTCCACGCCCTCGACTCAAAACTGCCACTCTATTGAATCCAAGAGGAGCCTCTTACACGCGCATTGATGAAGGCACAGGAGACTATATACTCTCCCATCAGGTACCACGTATCGTCGCTATATGAGCATGAGCAATAAGAGTCGCTTTAATCCGTTCCGCACGTGTGCAGTAAATGTTAGATATCTGCTGTCAATATCAAGTTTATTTAGAGTGTCTGTCCTCGGCAAACTGTCAAGAGTTGCAATCATGCCCTCAGCCGCAATCTGGCGCTTGCGCCCATGTGGAAGAAGGCCGGCCACCTGTATCCAATACAAGCGATCGAAGATGCCACAGCTTGCACATATTTCTTGATGTCAAAGCAATACCACTGGAATATATGAAGCTACTTAATTCTCTCACTATTACGTCTATAGGTCGGTCCTCATGATTGTCTTCTAGACCTAATGTTAGTGCGGCAGGCCTACCTGGCGATGGTCATGGGATATAGGCAGAATGTTCAGAGTACGGAGAAGGCGGTACTAATAGTAAATTAAAAGACTAGCAAAAGGACCAATATATCTTGCTCTACCAGTGCAATTTCTGCTCGGAACGGAGTGTAGCTTTTTTATAACAACGATTGTATCATTGTACCGGAAAAAGCAATGTGAGATTCCCGCTGTCATCTACTATGTGATATGTTGTAGTGACTGACGTACGGTCAAATTATCGCTGTAAGACAGAGTCTACGGTCAGCATGCTGTACCCAACAATTTATACCACTTCGATTAGGTGCGCCCGACCCGGGTTTACAACGGTAGCCGTCTATAAGCGCGTGAATGCGTGTATGTAGTGTAAACAAACGTCTGCGCCGACCCACCTCCACTATATCAATACCTGTGTCCCTTGTCTGCCTGCGGTGACAACAAACGCCCATGCCCACCCACCCACACCATCCCCGCTTCATCGCCTGCCCACTTAAGCTGTCATTACTATACTATATATAATAAAAGCTTCATATTTTAATCAACTAACACATCTAGGTCAGTCTGGCCTAGTGGTACATTAACACAGATTCGGGAGGGCGCTCGGCTGCGGTGCTGACTGCAATAGGAAATACAGGTCGTGGGTTGCCACTCTGAGGGTTACTGGTTCGAGTCCGGTGGCGGGCAATACCAGTACGCTAGGAGCTAGGCTTCATTTTTGTTTGTTCTTTTTTGGGGGGAAGGGGAAGGAACGGGGCGCGCGCTATGTGTCTGCACTGCAATTGAACTGACTACTAGTCAGGCATATCTTCTTGAGCAGGAGGACTGGACAGTCTAAGAGTGTGTACGTAAACATCAAGTCTTGTTTAAAACAAATAAGTGTTGCGTGCTAGAGATCAACAATGTTTAGGGTCAACCACCGCCCTTCCGCCCTTGGACTCGGGTCCTCGAGACGGGAGGTATGAATGCACTAGCACGTTATTCGACTAGCGCGTAGTCATCTATGAGTCTAGCCTACAACGGCAACCTTTTCGGCGTCAACCTCACCAGCATAAATGCAGACATTTGCGTAGGACACATCGCTTGAAACTTTTGAATAAACTCATCGCAAAACACTGCGTCTTGAATAAACATGACAGACTCTGGTACGACTACCTATATTTTTCTTCTTTTGCCCCGATCTCAATTGACATGTTATGATTTTCAGCCAACCTCAAAACCCGCATCAAGGATTCATATGATGCCATCGCCGACACCTATGCTGCCCAATTTACTACAGCGAATGATCCGATAAGACTAGACTATCTGAACCGCCTCGTCTCCCTGCTCCAGCTCAATGGTGGCGAAGAAGCTGCCGTCCTTGAGCTCGGCTGTGGCGCAGGCATTCCAGCAACGGAATTTCTCCTCAAAAAGGACAAGCCAGTATTCCGCGTAACCGGCAACGACATCTCAACCAGCCAACTTAACTTCGCACGCTCCAATCTCGCAAAGTATGAGAAAAGACTGACGCTCGTGGAGGGCGATATGCTTTCACTTTCCTTTCCCAAAGAGAGTTTAGATGCCGTGACAGGTTTTTACAGCATCATCCACTTGCCGCGCGAGGAGCAGACGCAGCTTATGCAGAACGTTACCACATGGCTCAAGCCTGGCGGCCTTTTCCTAGGCAACTTCTCGACAGAAGATGCCGCTACTCTGGAGAATGAGAAGTGGCTAGGCCACGAGAAGGGGTGGATGTTCTGGAGTGGGTGGGGCGAAGAGAAGAGCGTGAAAATGGTTGAAGATGCGGGGCTGAACATTGAGGTGAAGGAATTGCGACGAGCTGAAGGCGACGCGGAATTCGTGTGGGTGCTTGCGAAGAAGGGGGAAAGGTAGCATTCTACGACATAGCCAAGTGTATATGTTCGCTAAGACTAGTCAAAACTTGAATGTTCAAGATATATTTTGCTAACTTTTCGATGGACTTTCTCTGTTTATAGTTATTCAACCGTGGAATAGGCATCGCATGATGGACTGCCATGCAGGACATGCGAATTTGCTGAACTGACTCAATATCGTCACATTGCACAATATTGGCCAGATCAACATCATCCTTTGGTCCGCACCCGAAGTGAGCTCTTCGGGTCACCACCAAGAAATGACCAAGGGCAACGCGGCCATTCAGGCTTTATGTCGAGTACAGTCCGTGCTACGTGTGGACCCAAAGGACACCATATGTTACTCGACAAGCCCGGTTATACGTATAAGGACAGGTTTCGATCTTCATATGGTATCCTGACTTGAGACTCCTTACGCGACACGTGCATAGTATTTGGTAATAATTCACCTACAAGCCTAGCTGGAGTGAGATGAAGTTTGTTTCGCAAATCACACAGCTGCACGGCTAAATCCAAGATAGCGAGGCTTGCCAACTTTGAACCGCCATGCCGATGGGTTCGTCAAGAATATGGAAGAAGTTCCGGCCAGCACTTGAACAGTTGCGTTGCTCCAAGCGAGTTTATATCCTCTAGATAGGGGTTCCATCTAAACAGATGAAATTTGCATCCACTAGAGCAGTCACTGCCATCTGAATGCATCTCCAGGTAGAAAGAAGTTTGCGTCCTCAAAAGTGATCACGCGATCCATATCAAGAAAATTTGAGTCCATAAAAGCATCAGAGAGGTTGAGTAAGGACTGGTCCTGAAGGCTCTGCCGATTGCTTGGCGCTTCATTGGTTGACTGGAATCGAGCGTGTGGAACAGGAGTAGAGGTAGGGTCTGCATTTATCTGATAGAGACCTTGCCCATGACTAGGATAGCCAACCGTTGCTTGTGATGCCGTGTACGGTGGAGATATATTGACAATAGGTGACAGTGTCTGAATTTGTGGTTGGTGGTCGTGATGCTGCACTGGGGAATTTACGGCTACGGAGCGAAGCAAATTTGTAGGTGGTATGCGTTTTGGGCTGAGCGCTGGTTGGGTGCTATTGAAGTTGCTTTGGCTTACATGGCCTGGCCTATTGGAAGTATCGTGCACGAAGTTTCTGGTACGGGTATGTGATATGGTAGTGTGATCCGGACTAGCATATTGCTTAGGCTCTAGCGTTAGCCCAGAGTGGTCGTAAAAATCGAACTCAAATTGTGCATCGTGCTGACAAGCTTCTAGAAGTCGTTCAAGATGATAAGCATACAAGCCAGCTTGATTCCAAGGTCTTCCATTGGAAAGACCATCGAAGGTGCCCTGGGTTTTCCCGTTCCATCTTGTTGACATTTCCCATAGGTCGCGCGTCAAACGTTGAAATTCCGGTCGAAGGGGCCGATGAGTGGCTTGATGTTCAAAAAGTAAGGCTTTTGCAGCAACGAACGCGCAGAAAGAAAATTGTACGTTAACAAATGGTATTGGAGTATGCGCAAGGAATTTTCCAACAATATTTGACGTTTCAACTGCAGCAAGCTCGCAAGTCTGAGCGCTGCAATCCTTCGGTAGTGCGACATAATCATTCCAGCTTTTTGGAGGGTACGCAACCGGGTGGTGGAGTAGAATCATCGATGTGTTATGCATGATATGTGCAAGCGTCAGGTTTGGATCCATATCTACAACAGCCGTGTCTGAAGAGATATTCGAATCTTTCCATCTCGGTGGGAGAAAAAGCTTCCATTGCACAAGCCGAAGGTCAAGCTCCTTAAAGCGCGTCAGCCAGCTGACCGCATGTTCTTTGTCTTGCCAATTTATTCTCTGCTGTAAGAAGAAGCTTGTCACTTGGCTGAGTGACTCTGTTGCCTCGACGCAATAAGCAAAGGCGCCGAGTTTAGAGGCATCAATATAACCATTCGCAGAGTTTGGACTGGTGCCTTGAGGTGGTTCAGTTGATGGGTCTTCCTCGTTGTATTGAGCAGGCACATTTGCCAGAGACCGTCCAATTCGAGCCGCTGCCTTATTCCAAATTCCGAAGTAGGGGGTGGTCACGGGTTCTTCACGCGTGAAATAGCCACCATCGGCTGGCAACCTTCTATGGACATCTTCAGCTGTCAGGCTGGTGTTCCAGCCGGTGGATACGGAGCAAAATCGATCAAGCAGGAATATGATCCAGAACAGTCGTCGACGTTCTTCTAATTCTGTCCAATCACTTGAAGGCCGTATCAAGCGTACAGGCGTCATGAGGGAGCCCGAATGTGATGTATTGGGCTCAGTAGTCAGTTGCAAATAGTCGATTGTCCTTGTAAGTGAGCCGATTAGTGGCCAGGCTTTTTGAGCTTGACCATTATTAAGCTAGGCCAAGTCAGTTCAACTCAACTCAATTGTAGCGAAAATCCGGCACTCACATAATCAAATACAATGAAGATGAGTGCTTGCAGATTCTCAACCGACACACTGCGTATTGATTGTGTCTCCACGATCAACCGTGAGATCTTGGTTTGCTGGAGAATTTGATCTTTGTCCAAGAAAAGCACACTGGGGTCCAGGTGTCGCAACGACACCGCCACCAAAGCATGCAATACCAGATCTAAGCCAGCATCTCTTGAGCCATTACGCACACGATTATGAAGCCTTTGTTTATGAATATATGGGATCCAGTGGTGAAAAGACGTGCAGTAAAATTCGGTAATTTTCTCTAGAAGAGGCTGAGACGGTAAGTGCTGTGCGATATGGACATGATCGGACGTGACAAGCCAGTCTCCGAGTAGCGGTTCGTCGAGCTTGCGTTTCAATGGGTTTGTTGAAGGCTTCTCTTGTCGATGGGGTTGTGAATCGGTGTTTGTCGAGCCATTCGCATCTTGGCGATAGTCCGAGGGAGTGTCTGAGTAATGGAAGTTTTCTTGCACTTGAAGAACAACTTCCCCTCCGTTCTCGTGGTGGGAGCCGCGATCATTCTGCGCTACTTCATCGTGAAGGTACTGGGGACGAATGTTCCCAGCGTTGTCCAGCAGTATCTGCTCGAGGAATGCTGGAATGTGTCAATATTGACTCAGCTAACGATGTCTAGTCGCGTACCCACGCGACGCGTCAACGCCTCCACAGCCCCTGGTTTTAACCCAGGCTTCTGCTTAGGCTGGTACACGCACTCGGTTGCTACATCAATTGTCAGCAGAGAAACGGTAATTGTTCTGTCACATACATAGCCGCAAGCAATGTGCGCATGTTGGCGTTTCCCGCGAGCAGCGCAATTTTCGTTTCTTACACGAGGCGCAGGCTGGTATATCTTCACCAACAGAAACAGGACCATCATCCTCCCCAGCCTGGCTCACCGAATAGTTGGTCCAGCCGGCCGACATCAGCACGACATCTCCGATATTTTGTTAGCATGAAGGGTTGTGGAGGACCACGAGGGCGGGCATCGGGTTAACTAAAGCTTCTCCACACTGACCCCGCGTAACTAGCCTCCCATTCCGGCTGATCAGCCATCTGGAACCGTTTCCTGTTCCATCACAAAACTTGCAATAGTGTCCTTGAAATAAATATGGTAGTAATCGCTAGGAACGAAGCGGATGCGCTACTTGAATAGGTAGTCCGAACCATGTCTCCTCTTATTGCAGCTAATTCCACGCGTTGCCTGGCCCATAACAGAATTGTCGACGTGTTAGATCAAAGAACGTGGCGTTTCACTTAGAAGCAGCACTTCCCCGTTTCTCGGTTCGAGGGTAAGTAATATATGATCGTATTGCTACATGTATACTAATCAACAAGCCAACACCATTCCAGGTAATCGAAGG